TTTAAAAATAAACTAAAATGAAAAATGTTAGTCAATTTCTAATGTTAGGAGTGACCATGGAACCGAATTACAAAATCTTGATTTTGATGAGTTTTGTAACTCTTATGGTATTAGCAATAATTTTTCAACTCATATAACCCCTAAAAAATGGAGTTATTGAGAGAAAAAATCGAACTTTAGAAGAAATTGCTAGATCCATGCTTTGTGAAATAAAATTCCAAAATATTTTTGGGTGGAAGCCATAAACACTGCTTTCTATATTGTGAATAGAGTAATGATTAGGCATATTTTAAGGAAAAATCTATACGAACTTTTCAAAAATAAAAAGCCTAACATTAGCTATTTTCACCCTCTTGGGTGTAAGTTTTGGTTTTTAATAATGGAAAAGATAATCTTCAAAAATTTGATGCAAAAAGTGATGAATGAATATTCCTTAGATATTCCATGAATGCTAAAGTTTTTTTAGTGTTTAACGAAAGAACTCTAGTGGTAGAAGAGTCTATTCATGTTGTTTTTTATGATAACCCCACTCCAAGAAAGATGTATTGCGTGGAAAAAGATGTAGGTATTATGGCATCAAATGAAGCTGGTGAACCATCATCTAAAGAGGATACGCAAGAACCAACACAAGATGCTCTTAAGAAGCCAATTCAAGAGGAAATGGAAGTATTATGCCAAAGGGAATACAACTATGTCAAGGATAGTGAGATTTTGGGTGATCCATCCAAAGGGTAACTACTAGATCCTTTCTTAGAAATATTAGTAATTTTGTTGCATATATTTCATGTATAGATCCTAAGAATATAAAATAAGCACTAAAAGATGAATTTTGAATATTGGCTATGCAAGATGAGTTAAATTAATTTGAGAGGAGTCAAGTATGGACATTAGTTCAAAGTCCTAGTGACAAATCTAGTATATGTACTACATGTGTATTTAGGAATAAATTATATGAAAGTGGCAACATAGTGAGGAACAAGGGTAGACTTGTTGCTCAAGGGTATACTCAAGAAGAAGGAATATATTTTAATGAAACTTATGCTCCCGTAGCTAGGACAAAGGCAATGAGAATATTAATTATCATTTGCATGTTATCATAGTTTTATTTTATATCAAATTATTGTTAAAAGTTCTTTTCTAAATGGTTTTATAAAAGAAGAAGTGTGTGTGGAACAACCTCCCAGTTTTGAGGATTCGGAATTTCCAAATCATGTTTTTAAATTGAAAAAACCTTATATGGTTTAAAAATAATTTCCTAGAGCTAGGTATGAAAGATTGCTAAATTTTCTTGTTGAAAAAGGTTTTTCAAAAGGGAAAGTTGACACCACTTTATTTATAAAAAATAAATTGAAAGATTTGTTAGTAGTACAATTTTATGTTAATTATATTATTTTTAGATCTACTAATGATAATATTTTCCAAGATTTTGCTAAGTTAATGCAAGGTGAGTTTAAGATGAGCATAATGGGGGTGCTCTCACTTTTTTGGGACTAAATCAAGAAAAGGAAAGATTTCATCTTCATAAATCGAGCTAAGTACATCAACGATATGCTCAAAAAGTTTGGATTAAAGGATGTGATACCCGAAGTAACTCTTATGAGCCCATATACAAAGCTTGACAAAGATGAGGAAGGTAAGTGTGTAGATGTTAAACTTTGTTTTATCTTACCGTAAGTAGACTGGACATTATGTTCAGTGTTTTTTATGTGATAGATTTCAATAATGTCCTAAGAACATTTACAAGCCATTAAGAGAATCTTTAGATACTTTAAAGACACTCCCATATAGGACTTTGGTATTCTAGAGACTCTGACTTTAGCTTTCATGCCTTTTTGAATGCGGATTATGGAGGTTGTAAATTATATAGGAAAAGCACATCTGATATTTTTCAATTCCAAGGTATTATGTTGATTTCATGGTTTTCAAATAAACAAAATATTGTAGCATTATCAACCACCGAGGCGAAATACATTTCGGCTGGTAGTTGTTGTGCTCACGTTTTATGGATGAAACAAAAACTAATAGACTATGGAATTGATGTAGGTACTATACCTATCAAGTGTGACAATACTAATACTATTTGTCTCACCAAAAATCCCATCCAACATTCTAGAACTAAACATATTGAAATTAGACATCATTTCATCAGAGATCATGTCTTCGAAGAAGATATAGTTCTAGAGCATGTTGACACTTTGCATCAAGTAGCAGACATATTCACAAAACCTTTAGATAATGGAAGAATTTGGGAAATTATAAGAGAATTAGGTCTAACAAACCTACCTTGACTTTGTGTATACATATTTTATGCACTTTTATGATTTTATAAAAAAACATGTTAAGTGTTTTCCTTGATGCCTACAATACAATTAGTTAGGGGGAGTTTATGACTTTTCATTAAAATTTATAAATTGTTCAAAGTATGTTTGCATGTGTATTTGTTTTCTTGAACATTTTTCCTTGTCTATTTAGAGTTATCTATACCATTATTGATGCCCTAAAATATGCCCTATGAATTTTGACCTTTCGGTGCACTCTAACTAGAAGTTCATGAAACTTCATCATTAACTGATGTTTTTGTTGTTAAACCTTATATAAATGAATGAATGCTTGTATATTGGTCATAATTTTATGTCTCATATGATCATATATGTTGTGTGTGCTTATTTTGTAATAAAAATGTTATCTTAGGACTAATTAGCAAAATTTCTTTACCATTTCGTGCATCTAGTATCATTATTGTTCTTTCAGTACTGATATTGTTCTTTCTCAGTATCAATATTGTTCATCAAGTACCGATATTGTTTTTAGAGTATCGATAGGAGTATATATACTATGTATTGATGCCATTTTCTTTAGCATACAAGTAATGTTACTTATTTAAATGAGTACCGATACTCGTGGCCTAAGACGCATTAAAACCTTAAAAAATTCCCATTTTTTAAAAAGCCCTACCAGTGTCGCTGATGAAAAACTCTCTCCCCTCTCAAATTGTTGCATTTTTCTATCGTTTTTGGGTAGTTTTTCACGCTTGTTACCTGTATTTCATGCTTGTTACATGTATTTCATCAAAATCGTGCTACATTCCTTCATTTCCTCCTAAAATAAAAGATTCAAGGTAAATCCTTCTTCAAGCCCTAACTCTTATTTTCAACTTTTTTTATTTATTTGTATAATTTGATGCAAATTACTTATTGGGATTTATACTTTAAACCTTTTCGCACTATATTATTGTATGATTTGTTATTTTTCCATCAAATTTATAAAATTTTGAATTAAAGAAATTTTTTTACGTTTACATATACATATTTTTATATTTTATATATATGTATTATACATTTGTTTCTTTAGTATAAATATGTGTGTGTATATATATATATATTTAACATTTATTTCAAAACTTTTTATATGTATGTTCATATTCACTGCAAATACTTTTAATTATATATATATATTTACACATATTCATATATTTAGATATAAAACATTAAGCTCATTGTTTTTCGATTTTAATTTGATCTTAAATACCTAGAATATTGCATACTCTTTTGAGTTTTGGGAATTGATGTTAGCATACATGTGTACATTGCTTCTTTTTGTAGGTTTCTCTATCCCGATTTTATCCCAAAATGTCTAAATGTCCCCGTTCTCCCATTCCCACCCTCATCCCTAAGCATCTCATCTTCCAAATCTTTTTAAAAATCCTAATCCTAACCCTGTTTCAAATTCAAATGAGCTTACCATTAAAAAAATCATGTTTTACTAAACATGATCGCCAAAACCTTTGGCATAGGTACTCGTAATTCTTTGAGTTATTACCCTTAGGGAGAGCTATGCCTTCGCTTTATTCCATGACCGAGCTTAAATTCAAATATCTTCCACAACTCTGATCTTAGAAACTAGACAACACTTTCAAAATCAAACTTGTTGTCTTTCAACTACTTGTTCGTATTTTCTATTCAAATATTTTTTGTGTTGTTGATCAAACCCTAAATGCCATCGTTAATACTCATTCATACCTCATGGAGCAATACATTCACATAGATGTTGCTTCCATAGCCCAAGACTTAGATCTAGAGGTTAAGGGAATATACAATGTGAAAATATTGTTGCATCTCCTTATACAATTGGTCATAGTGTCAATACCTTAGAGATTCATGAGAGATTCTTGCATCACATTATCACTTTGTGGTTTCGACCATTTGGGGGTAAATTATCCACCCTTCGTGCCGTAGACATTTGGTAGCTTAATTACTTTCAACATAATAAACAAATAAATTTCCCAAAATAGTCTTTGGTGAGCGTGTCGATGTCATCAATAACTTTTAATCTAAGAAATTTGATACCATAATTTATGGTTGTCTGCTTATCCATATCTTTCTCAAAGTCGGTATCAATGTCACTCTAGATCCCACTATTCCCCTATCCTCATACATTGATCTTAAATCTCTTTGTAAATCGAGATGGGAAAAACTTAGGATAACGTAAACAAGAAAATGGAAGCGAGCTATAGGATCTACCTCTGGTGCACCTCAACCTCAAGGCAATGATCTGGTACGCGATGTCGATGATCCGATGAATCATGTTTCTGTCGATCCCCTTGAGTTGGTGGTGAGGATGTGAGTGAGATTCCACCTTACTTCCAAAAGTTCATAGAGACGATGGACATGAGGTATGCTACTATAAAGTATCATTTCACAACTTTAGGGACTTGGATTTCTGACATTGCGGACCGACAGTTGTCATTGAAGGCGATGTATGTGACTACCAGCGTGATTTCATGGCTAGGCTAGACGCTCTTTCTCACGACTTTGCTTTCTTCCACGCTATGTCTTTGGATCATGATCCTTCTCCGTCAGAAGCCTGACTACTTTTCCTTGATTGACTGTTTGTTATTTGATCATGTTCGGTATTACATTTAGACTTAAATGGATATTTTTATCTTTCGCTCGGGGATGTTAGTTTTTATATTTTCGTTATGGCTTTGGATTTTTATGCACATGGATGCTTTTATTTGACATGATATTTGGATGCTTGTTATGATTTATAATATTTGATGTTTGAGACATGATTTTCTTTATGACCATGTTTATTGCTTAAGAGTATTATTTATGTTAACTAACCTCTTTTGGATAATTTGTTCTTCACATCTTTTATTTATATATTGTTTATAATTTTTAATTTAACAAAAATGGGGAGTAGTTATTTTCAATAAAATCTTAAAAATCTTAAAATTATTCAAAGGTTTTGTTATATCAAAAAGGGGAGATTGTTCAACCATGCTTTGAGATTTTGATATATCAAAAGTAAATAAGTTTAAAGAAATTTTAAGATTATTTTTAATTCGGTTTTCAATCTTATATTCGATTCAACCATTCAAATATAAAAATTCTTTTTAAATTCAAAAACTCCAACTTATACTAGAAATAAATTTTCAAATATTTTTACAAAGGGTTTCGGATCTTAATCAAGTCAAATATCATTTTTTAACCATAGAGTACCAATACTACAAGAACAGTATTGATACTATTCATGTGGTAACGATACTGGTACCGATACTAATGTGTAAAAATACATTGCACTACCAATACCTATACCGATACTAATGTGTTAAAATACACTACAATATCGATACTGGAACTGATACTCACTTTAAACTTTTGACAAACCGATTCCAATATGCTATTTTTGTACCAATACTCTCTAAGTATCGATACTGGTATCGATACTCTAAGTGGAGTACCGTTACTCCCTATCACCAACGACTAGATTTTTGTAATTAATACAGGCTATATAGATACTCCAAGCTCGAGTACCGGTTCTCAAGGTGTCTGGGCAACATTTATTTCAGTAAATTTCATCCCAACGGCTCTATTAACTCCCATAGCAACTCAAACGACTAGAATTGAAAGAAGGGGTATAAAAACAAGATTTCAAGTCATATGTGAAGACAAGAAATCATAGAGAAAGCCAAACCAATCACATTGAGCCAAAATAAAGTTAACATTCTTCAATATTCTTTTTGCTTTCACATAACTCTTTTGTACTCATTTATTTCATTTTTTAAGTGTTCTTATTTATTCTTGAATTGTGCAAACACATTTCTAGTGAGATTTTCTTAAGTTTGCTATTTGTAATTTCTTCTTATGAAGGGTTGTACCTTGATACTTTGGAGTATAAGTCTAAGTGTGTTGTAAGGTTACATCTTGTCCTAAAAGATTGGAACAAACTAGTGAATTTGTTGAAACCCTTTGTGTAGAAGCTAAGATAGAGGATTTAGGCTTCATTGAAGAAGTTGAACCAATCTAAAATTGCTTGTGTCAAAATTTTCATTTTCTTGCAAAAAGGTTCCATCAATTTCTTATTTGCCAATTCACCACCACTAAAACTGAAATCTTCAATATTGATTTATAATCAAATCTAATTTTTCATTTTCTTGCAAATAAATGAATCAATCCAAAATTAATAGAAAATTAAGTTGTTCTTAATGATTCAACATGATGAGGCGATGATAGCACTTGTTAGAACGAAAACATAATTGATATAAAATCAAGAACACAAATAGCTCAAGATCTAATCATGTCAAATCATCAAGAATAAAATACTAGATTCGAAAGCATACCTGTTTTAATTGATAGGTTGAAATTCTTGAGGCTTTCTTTGGTTGTGATCTTCCAAGAAGATAAAGCTCCCTTAAGTATAAACTCTCTGATGGGAATAAGAATATATACGAGATTTTCTATTTCTTGGGGACCATAACCCTTTTATATAACTGATTTAAGAATCAATATAATTGTTTGTACTTATAACTTTGTCCCTCATCGAATTATAAATTCAACTTTAATAGTATATATACTTTTATTTTCATGACACTTCTAATATCTTATGACTTTGTAACATAATTGGTAACTTAATTTATGTCATATTTATAATTACAATATACATTATAAATATATGCGCATAATTATGAATTTTAATCCAACAATTTTTTTGGGTGCTATATTAAAACCAAAATTTATGAGGAATGCTTCATTATTGTGCTCTAGTTTTTTCACCCCTAATTCGCCATTTCCCGAAGGGTTACAAACAACCCCCATTTAACCATGATAACACTCTTCCTTTCATCTGATCGATAATGAAATTTCGTATTAGCCTTCCCGTTACTTGACATATTCCTTTAGGCAAAATATTGGTATGCATAAAAGCCGGTAGCTGAGCCTAGCCTGGACAGGAGGGATACCTGCCCAGGACCATCAAGATAGGTCACTCTAAACTAAAGTAAACATATTTCGGGTAAACTATACGAACAGTCCCTTGCGTTTTTGGTCTAATTAGTTTTGATTACCTGTTAAAAAATTAAATGTGTTTAGTCTCTTATAATATCGGTCTATTCGGTCTGTCTCTAACTCGTTAATTTTCATTAACACATTAACGTAAGTATTACGTGGCAGTTTAAAAATAAAAAAATATCATGTCTTATTCGTTTCTTTGAAATTCTCCTCCCTTCATCTAATGATTTAAGAATAAAGAACCAGATCATTTTATCTCACTACATTGCTTGAAATATCTTGGTTTTGAAAATTTGACAACCGACTCTGTTTTAAATGGAAATTAACTTCATCAATGAAACGCTACTGAAAAAGATCTCTACCTATGGCTTCCGACGCGGATCTTCAGAGCTCTGCTTTCCCATTTAGTTCGGAGTGCCCCATGAGCCTGGCTATTACGTTAGGGGACCGTTGTTGTTTGTCGTTATCCTCTACTACATTGTCTTCATTATTGGTTTTGCATTGGTTCGTACCGATCTCACGAGCTTTTAAGCTTCCTTTAGCGACATCGACGACTCTGCTATTCTTTTGGCCTTCATACTAACATATTTTATTTCCGTCATCATCGTCACAGCTTGCAAGTTTGAGGATAATAAAGTCAATTCGATGGAGGTGAAGAAAATAGGGTTGCTCGCTTCCTGAAATGAGCTATTTCTTGATATTTTCCTTCCTGCATGCATGTCATCTCTCACCATCAGTACCTATCATGTGCCTACGTTAAAGTGAAATAAAATTTACATATCTTTTCAAATATTACGCCTCAAATAAATTACGATAAGGTTGAAAGATATCAGGGTCTACTGCACTGCAGTTCTCTCTTTGTGGTCTTGCACTTCATATTTCAGAGAAAAGACATTGGTTCGGCACATAAATAGATTGGTAATGCTAAATTTTTCTTGGCTGCTACTTGTCATTCAAAAAACCATAACCAAAGTTGTAATAATGAAAAGGAGAAAAAATAAAGGTCAAAACATTCGATGCAACTAATATCTCTCTTATCTTTAGGTTTTAAAAAGCGAGTTGTGCTTGCAGTAGCAGTATGTTGCTGGTGGCAGATTAAAATATGGAAAATGATCCCCCTGCCGCCGCCACTCGTACCCGCCCACTTATAGTGGAAAGTGACCTAGTCTTTTAAGGTCAAGAAATCAGAAACAACAGCCAGGAAATAGTTTTAATTTGTTGAAAATGCAGAGGAAGAATCAGAAAGTCAAGTGAAGTTTTCCCATAAGAAGAATTGAAGAAAAGTTCGGCTGCTGCAAATAGCGACGGAAATAAGCAGTTTCCTCAAGCTAGACGATGACAAGCTTTTCCTGCATCAGGTAATTGGACTGCAACATTCCGATAACAGGTGCATTATATGAGCTTTGTTGGTTGTCATCCATGGCTGAAAATCATTAGATGGAGGGAGGAGGATTTCAATGGGTTTGTTTTAGCATGGTTTTGTCGGAATGAGAATTTAAAGGAGTGTGGGTGGTTTAATGGTCTAAAGAAGAAGGAAAAGCATCGGAGGAGGGGTGATTTAATGGTCTAAAGAAGAAGGAAAAAAAGAGGCACATGTAATTTTTAATTATTCAATTGAAAAAATATGATTTGTTTACGTGAGATAAGATTATCTAAAATATGAAATAAAATTCAACTAAAACAACAAAACTTAAATATTTATTTTTATCTTTTTATGATAAACCTTTTAAATTTAAGATTTTTAGTTTGATTATTTTATATAGAAATTAATTATTTTTTTACTAAGAACAAATTTATTTATATAGAACTCTCGGGTTCCTTTAGGATGAAACTTTGTAGACAAATTGAAATTTATATTTCCTTGGTTATTTATTGAAGTCATACTTTTTTCATCTCCACTTTTCTTTGATTATTTTCTTTTCACAATGTTAAGCATGATCTAGTCCATGCATAGTAAATCTACATTAGCTTAAAGCTTTGCGAAACTCAATTTTAAATCGTGAGAATTGAGTCTTGTTCTTCATAACTTCAAATAGTATTATTCAATTCTCTAGAAAATATGAGTGACAATCGGTCATTCCTTCAAAGTTACTACATCTTTGATCCAAAAAGATGTTGGTTTGAAGGTTGTTTTGGCTTATGGTTGGGAAGACGGATCAATTGGTCATAATTCAGCTTCCTATGAACAAACTTAGTGACGATACGCTAAGGAGAATTAAGATCAGGTTTGATTCTTGGAGAGACACTATAACCCGAGTTGAGCTCTTCTAGCACTCAGAGTTGTCTTGGTGTTAATGACAATAAACATGGTTAGCCAAACAAGGACTAGATTTCGGAGATATACTTAGAAATTTCTATCAAACTAAGAGAAGAGTTAGCTGCGACGGTTTGACTTTGTTAATTATAAGTAACATCCATCAAGGAGAGAAAATCTATTTTAATGATCGATCAAAATTGAGGCTAAGCAAGGCCTATGTTATATCATCTTAATTGAATTGTTTTACATTATTTACTTTATTTACTTTCTCATTATTTTTTATTCATTATTTATTTTTATTATTAATGTACTTTTAAATCCCCATTTTTACGTTTGTAGTTAAAACCTGAGGATCGAAAGAAAAAAATTATTAGACTTCCCTAGTCCTTGTGGATCTAATTGAAAACTTTATAAGGATAAAAATGGTACATTTTTCAGGCTTAATTGAAATGATAGTTGAA